GGGTAGGGCTGTTGAGGGGGAACACTCAGACCCCTAGACATGGAAATTGAGTTCAGAACCCAGGAGAAAAATTTAGCAGGTCTCTGGGCTGCTTGCTCTTGTCTTCTGCTGTCCTGTCTCCTCCACCCACTCCACTCCATTTTAACTGCAGTGAAGTGGGAGAGAGAAGTCAAAGACACAGCCATAGGCAGTGTCAGTTCTATTGCTGGTTTCATTTGAGAAATACTTTCCAAGCTGTTTTCCAGTGTCAGAGAAGAGCTCACAAGATTGTTTCAGTCTGGATGCTGTTTAGTGCTATATAACGGAAAACTACAACTAAAATCTCTTGGAAAGTAGGGAATTTATCATCTCACTTGAGTCCAGAAAAAGATAATCAGCCTTCGGGGATGTTTTTGAGGACCCAGGCTCATTCCATCTTTCCACTCAGGCACTTTTAGCTAGACCATCACTACTCCCTATGGTCACAAGACAGCTGCAATAGCTCTAGGCATCACATCTTTACACATCAACACCCACTCGGAGGCAGAAAAAAGGAAATAACTCTGTCATATCTGTTTTTAAGAACAAGAAAAAATCTTCCCAGAAAACAGCTTTCACCTGAAGCTGCCTTCCTTTTGTGCCTAAGGGACAGAACTGTCACTTGCCCTGGAATGCCCTAGACCATTAGGACTAGGTTCTCAAAGGCTGGGGAGGAACCAGGACTCATACAAAAGAGACATCCTCTTGGAAGAGGGTGAGGAAGAGGGCATGAAAGAAGACAGTATGGGACTACTAGGCAGGCAACCAGCAGTGTCTGGCTTTAGGAATCTAAATGTATTATTTGTGTTTAGATGTACCAGCATGTACTCTACTAATAAAGAGACAAGGATCACATTGAAATAGGTTAGTGTCACACAACAAGGCTACCTTGGATGTTTGACTAAGAGACTGTCAACATTTCAAAACTTTCTCTTTTTAAAGCACCATTTATCAGACTTATCTAGAATAGTAGCAGCAACTTCTGATTCCAACTCTGCCACTAGTGAGTGACTGGACAAGGTGCTTCATCTCTTTGGATGTTAGTCTTATCATCTGAATATGAAGAATTAGACAAAATAACCTCTAACAATCTTTTGGCAATAACCAGTTCTGTGACACTCAAAATATTGAGAACGATTTCCTCAAGATGTACAAGGAGAAAACCCTCATGACCAGACAGTGCCCGTGTTCCTGCAGGCCCATCTCTTCATTCACATAGTACATTCACTCTCTCAGGACCCTCATAGGCCATTGCAGGAGGCAGAACAGGATTGCACTAAAAAAGCCAAAGTGATTGGTTGTCACAGAGCAGTTCTTGGGCTTAAGCCAATCAACTTCAACTCCCAGACCTCACCAACTCTGTGATAACTCAAGTGGAAACTGGCTGAATTTTCCCTTTGTACAATGTGGAAAGAAGGATCCTCCGAGCAGTTAATATTTTCTTTAGTAGTGAAAGCATTTGCTTGAAATCTTGTTCACAAATTACTTCCAGGCATCTCAAGCATCTTTTTATTCACTATAAATATATGTATGAAAGTAATTCTAGACCAGTGCTGACCAACAGAACTTTTGGTGATGATGGAAATGCTATACATGATGTGCATGTGTATTTGTATATATACACATATATAGATACGACATATATGGATATACATTATATCTGTGATGTCCAATATGATAGCCTGTAGCCATTTGTGTCTATTTAAATTAAAAGCTTAAAGAAATAAAAATTCAGTCCTTTGAGATGACTAAATTAAAGATGCAGTTACCTTAGCCATATTCCAATAGCCACATGTGATGAGTGGCTACTATATTAGGAATAGTACAGTGACAATAACTTGCAATTTTTCTCGTTACTAAATGTAAAAATAATAAAATGCTAATATTTTAAAGGTATTTAATAATACAAAGTTTTCACTCATTTAATCTAAACCAATAGCCTCTGTGTAAACATTTTTATGGTTGTATTTTTATCAACTCACAAAATGTTACTTTATTTAAAACTTTTTTTCTGCATAGATTATAGAAAAGGACATGCACATTGCAAACTTTGAAAGTGAAAAGTGAAAAGTCAGGCTTCTGACCCTCCTCCTCCCCACTGCTCCCATCCTCCCCAGGAGGAAGCACACTTCTGGACATGGATTGTCCACGTGTGAGCAGAAACACTGCTGCTAGGTGGTACCTGTTATGATATGCAACACTCTGCATCTTTGTTCCACTAAAACGTGTATCTTGGCATTCTTTTCATGTTGGTGTGCAAAGTGCTGCTCATTCATTCTAATGGCTGCATAGTGTTGCACTGATGGATATCCCATCATTTTTTAACCAGTCTCTCCTGATAGACATCTAGATCGTTTCTAACCTTTTGCTATTCAATCTACAATGAATATCCTTGTATATACATTCTTTCGCATGTGTAACATGTAGGATAAACAGATTTAGAACTGGTCAGTGAAAGGACATATACGTTTACAATTTTGAAAGCGAGAACAAAATTTCCCAACAACCAGCTTACACTTACAACACTGCATAGATGTGACCATATCCTTCCCCCACTCACTGGGCTTCTTGTTCCCTTCCCAGGGGCAACCAAAATTACCCAATTTTGATAGAAGGAATAATATAGGAATCCAATTCTACTTTTTTCCAGATGGCTATACATTTGTCCACATACCACTTCCTGAATAATCTGTGAAAGTATTACTTTTAAGCAATGTAACCTTTTAAATTTGGGATAGTACTCAAATGTCAACATTCCAGTTTAAAAAGCTCAGGTTACACTTTCCATACAAATGAATCCCAAAGCCCAGCATTTGGATAACAGGTTATATGTCAACATGCTTAATCATCATGGTACATAAAATGATTGCAAAAGTAAAACTTTGTTAAATTCGATTTTTCTCTCTTAATAGGAAGAAAGAGCGCAGAGCAAGGCTTGGACTTGTCACGGTTACCAGTGTTCACACTCCAGGAAAAGAGCTACATTAAAGGCACATCTGATTTCTTGGGATTAGGTCATTTTACAACTCGGTACATCACAGAAAGGAACTATCCCTCCCGCCAGGGTCCCAGCTACCAGAATGATCGTGACTTAGTAGAACTGGTTGACCCAAACTGGCCTGATCTGGGGTCTAAGTGGCTATATTCTGTGCCATGGGGATTTAGAAGACTCCTCAACTTTGCTAAGGTAATTGTCACATTGAGCTATTTAAAAGGCATTTTTTGACCTGAATTCATGGTCTTAGAGCTTAAGCACAGGTGCTTACATTTTAAAGTTAATAAAACAAAATACAAATAGTTACTCATACTCCAGAAGCTACCAGATATAGACCTAACAGACTAATGCCTACTATGAGTAACCATTTCAATGTATACAACTAGAGCTAAAAGCCTTATCCCACATTTTGTTATTTTGCTGCCCTTTTCATCTGAAATGGAATATGTGGGAAAGAACAAGACCTGAAATACATTTTCTCTAGAATGATGCTAATTTGTTAACAAAACATATTCTTTCATATGAATTTGCCTCTTACTTACATGCCTATCTAAATAAACGTGCAAACTGGCATCTACTAAACACTAAAGACACTCAATTAGAATATAGAAGGCTTGGCCTTGTATGCCAATATGTGCCTCAGACTCAGAAACCCACCTGTAAGTTGGAATTTTTAAGATATTTGTTACTATGACTTCCAGACTCAATATGGCGATCCTCTCATATATGTGATGGAAAATGGAGCATCTCAAAAATTACACTGTACTCAATTATGTGATGAGTGGAGAATTCAATACCTTAAAGGATATATAAATGAAATGCTAAAAGGTAAGATAAAAACCAAGACTGTCTTCATGAATTTTTCTAACTTGGACAAAATTTGATAATACGCATGATTGACTAAAACTTGTTTCTAAATCTCATAAAACATTTATCTTCACAATATTATTTTTCCAAGTAAATAAAATATATTAAATATGCCAAAAAATGTCTTTGCAGCTATAAAAGATGGTGCTAATATAAAAGGGTATACTTCCTGGTCTCTGTTGGATAAGTTTGAATGGGAGAAAGGATACTCAGATAGATATGGATTCTACTACGTCGAATTTAACAACAGAAATAAGCCACGCTACCCAAAGGCTTCAGTTCAATATTATAAGAAGATTATCACTGCCAATGGGTTTCCCAGTCCAAGAGAGGTAGGACTAATTATCCATGTTACTCATTCTGGATTTTAGAAGAGCTAGGCAGCTAGGGTGTAGTTTGGCAAGAACCTGTCCTCTTTCCACCCTGAAAGAAGACAGGGGTATGTGGGAGCATGGTCCTTTGTGTCGTCCCCCAATTTGTACAACCTCTTTGCTTATTTGCTTAGAATGGGGTAAACACACATTAAAATTCAATCCCAACATGCAGAATATTAAGGGCAGACGAGGGTTATGCAGGAGTCCTGTTTGCTTTAGGTTATAATAGAGACTTTTAGTTAAGTATTATTCTAAATGTTGTATCTTACCACAAATACTGCCTATTCTTCAACATATATGAAAAGTTAAGTAAATCAAATATATAATGACCATATAATTTTCATTTCTTTTCCCATCAAATGGCAGAGTCACACAAATGCACTGGTTCCCAAATGAGATTAAAAAATAATCAAACTTAATAATCCTTTAAAACCTACCAAACATTTTCAATGACTTACACATTTTTCTATCAGCTCTCTATATTGCTGCGCCTAATGGCAGGGAATACAAATTGTATTTGGAGTGTATTAACAAAAATAATTTTTAAAAATAAATCTCACTTGTTTACCAACATTCTTTTAGAGTGAGCCCAATGGGACTATACATGGAAGCAGTGACTGTTAGCTATCAGGCATTCACAAGTTTTGCATTACTAGAAAAACACTAGATTATAAACTCCTCAAGAATACTGTTTTTTGACCCCCTCATAATGATGCACATTGGTGTTCAATAAACATTAACTAAGCTACAAGCATATTAAATTTTTTTTATTCCACATTATTCCAAAAATAACTTCAACAGCAAAAAATTAGTATAAGACAACATTACTCATAAAGTGGCTTTTTATTAGGTGGAAAGTTGGTACTACCAAGCCTTGGAAACTTGCTCTATCAATAACCAGATGCTTGCTGCAGGTGAGTATATTTTAATTCTTCCCTTTGATAATTAAACCACATAATTATATAATGACATTATCAAAGTCTCAAAATGTTGATCTACCCTAAGTCAATCTTCCAAAACCACAATTAAAAATGGCTTTTTCTTCACTTTGAAGCAATGTCAAGTTTCTATCTTATAAGCATTTTAAATATTTTAAAAACCTTCCAGAAAAAAATATTTTATCCACTCTAGATTTATTCTTTCTGATTCATACTGTAAACTTATAAATCTACTATTTTATTATAGTGGGCTTTGTGAAAGGTAGAAAAAATTCAACTATTATATCAAATGGAATGAAAAAAAAAAAACGGTCAAAGAAAACTTCAGATATTATATTTATCCAGGAAGTAATTGTTAAACACTATTAGCCTGGGGGGTGTTTTAAGCCCTAGGGATATAGCAATGAACAAAACAAAGTCCCTGACCTCATAGAAGGCATCATTTCTTATGCAATAGGATCTAAAATGGTACAATGTAGAATAACAAAGATGCAATTATACATCAAGAAATGCCAACGGCATATCATTTGTTTCTTTGAATTTTGTCTTTCTCTCTCTAGAAGGACAATCAGAGAAATATGCTTCTTGTTTTAACAAAGTCATCTTTAATGTGGTATCAGAGGTGGAAAGTGCTAGACCAAATCCTATCAATTCAGCTATTTTTATAGGCCAATATACCACTGTGCCCATTCCCCTGTCCCATCTAAATAACCACTAAGGATGTACAGTCCATTAAACTAAAATAAAATGCATTTTATCATGTAGAAACATGATAGAGAATTTATTACTAAGCCTATGAACTCCATGAGAGCAGGGCCTGTGTCTTATTTCTGTTGATAACCATTATGTCTGACACAAAACCTAAAAGTGGGTATTACTTCAATGTCCACTACTTTATTCATGTACATGGTATATGCTTAACATTTAACTCTTTAAGACTCTTACCTAACTATGTAAGAACTACCATACAAAATTTCAATATAGAAATTCCTTTATCTATTAAGATATACAATAACATCTTTGAAAGGTTGGAAATGTTTCCCACGGATTTTTCTTTCACAAATCCCCCCAGTGAAAATTATAGAAACCATGGAATATAGCTGCTAATATTGTGAGATTAATTATGGTAAGCATTAATTTACATGTAGATTTTATTACAGTAGCTGTGTCAGGCATTTCTTTATCCCATATTTTCTGAAGTATTTTCCAAAGCCCTCACATAATTTTTTATAACATTTAATTCATCAGGTCCTCTTTTACAGAAAATGAGAATTAGAAAGTGTAAAGCCATTTTCCAAGTTTCTTCAATACAGTTAAAACTTTCAGGATGAAGCTAGACTCGCTAAAATGATCACATTCCCATTTGTGGTGGTGTTCTCTCTCCCATTTCAGAGCCTTTGCTAAGTCACATGCAGATGGCGACGGAGATCATGGTACCTACGGTCTGCACCCTCTGTGTACTAATCGTTGCAGTTCTCCTAATGCTTCTCCTGCGGAGCCAGAACTGATACAGGGTTACTACCATTCTGCAGCTTCATCTTTCAGAGAGAATCTTCCAGATATTCCTCCTCTTTCTGCTTCAAAGGTTTACATACATTTTTGTTTTCGGGCTCTGTAATAATTTCTTTTTTCTTTTGGGGGTTTATGCTGGGATGTAAGAATTAGAAAATAAAAACAAACATTTAATAAATAAAATAAAAATCTCCTGTTATCTCACCCCTCTCAGTCAAAGTTAATATTCTGCTATATATTATGCATATAGTTTCATTTTGCAAAAAAGGATCATACTGTACAAACTGTCTTATGACTTGATTTTTTTCATTTTTAAATCTATCCAGAAACATTACTTTAATGTAGAAATGAATGCCATCTCAGCGATCTCCTACACATGATAGTTAAAGCTAATCATCTGTAGATAACAATTCTTTCAGGTTGTAAATTTTATTAGGTAACCAGGGAATAGCATTAGGTGAATACCAAGCAAATGAGCACATAACACTTTTCTGAATTCATTTCACTCTGAGAAAAATCTTGAATATTATATATTTAATTTATATATCTTTTCTGTAACTAGATATTTTGTTTTTAAAATAAGTGTTCATTTTATTCTTAACTATGCTAAAATTAACTAATCTCCATGTATTTGGGAACAAAACACGGCTTAAGATGGAATAATGTCAGGTGTTTTACTCATCTGATTCTATTTAATATTTTTGAAACACAAAAATAGTAAAGATAGTAGAAAATGCTACTCCAGTAATCCTTTTGGTTAATCTTATTTCAGATTAAACATTTTAAAATGATATTTACATTGGGGGCTTAGTCCTACAATTGGGCTGGGGTAAAATTGCTTTTAACAAACCTTTGCTTTCAATGTCACATTGATATGCCTGTTTATGGTTTTTCTCTTCCATAAATGTTTTTGAAATCAAACTCTCTTTCTACTCTCTATCCAGATTTAAAGTACAAAGATATTACTACTCAGAAAAAAAGTTTTTGTTTCTCTGGTTTTATGATTAAACTGACCTATTAAGTTGACTACAGAAGGTAGAAAGGAAATTAAAGACTTGCACTGCTCAGTAACATCTGGTGAGCCTTTTATGTGATTACTGATAAATAATCCATATTCCCAATGTATTAAGTCGGCATTTATAGAAAGAACTAAAACTTAAGGTACTTAACACATTACAAAATATTCGAAGAGAACAAAAAATGAACATACTACCTGATAGAGGACCCCCCTTCAGCACATATCACTTGAAATGCACCTGGCTGCAGGTAACCATGTTAGTAAAGGATGTCCTTTCTTCCAGGCTACTGTTTAATGTTAATTCAGAAAAATCTGTAACCAGAAAGATAGTGAGATCAGAATTGCTTACACCCTGATGGCTTTTCTACCATGTATACTGCTGAATTTTACCATAATTGAGAGGTAGTCTGAATGATTATGTGTCTTCTACTTTAAGAGAATTTGTTAGACAAAAATCGCAAGGATGATTCCTTTAAATAGTGCCAAAACCCTCTTGGCACATTGAAAACATGACTAAACAAACTAAACAAACTAAAATATAAAGAAGATTTTTTTAAAAAATTAAATATTTTAAATTTGGAAACCTACGGCTTTATTTTTGTGTGCCTCATCCACTATGGTTAACAATCATCTTTTTTTCAATCTTAATATATATTTCAGAAAACATTATCTCCTTAGGATTTTCAGTCTTAGGGCTAGACATATATCCACTTTTTTTTCTCCTGATGACTGTTGTATTTCAAAATAAATGGTACAATTAACATTTAGATGAAACTATATCCACTTCTTTGTGGGCCAACATTTTGGTTTCCATATTCCCACCATTATCAACAATCATTTGTTGAACAACCACTGGGTGAGCAGCACTCTACTGGATATTGTTTTTCTTCCCTATGAACCCCAAATCATTATTCTTTCTTCCCAAAGCAGACAAAGGTATACTTTTCTCTCTTAAGTCTTCCTGCTTTTGATATCAACTGTTTTACTTAAGAGTGTCATACCATAGATATTCTGAAAAAACTAGTATTTGACCAAAGCTCGGGCAATGAAATAGTCTAATTTCTTAAACGTATATATTTAGCCAAAAAAAAAAAAAGAAAAACCACATTATTGGGCTCTAATATTTACAACCAGGGCTTTGCATGAATACAAATGAGGTCCTCCTTGAACAGTGGGTCTTGCTTTGGGCCAAAAGTCACTGAAAAATTTCTAGACAAAACACACAAAGAATATATGATGGGTAGAAAAGGTTATAAAATTCAAGGCAAAATTGAGTGTGTTTCTAAGCGCACAAATATACAATTTCATAAAAATTCTTTATTGTTATAAAAGGAGTCATTGGACCAATGCATCAATAAATTGTTTTAACTCTAACATTCAAAATCACTTTCACTCTTTTTGAAGCAAACTGAATTAAAAAGACTGAAAGATATGTTCAGTATATTTCACTTATTCCGCATCATTGGAAAAAGGTGTTTAATCTTGCATGAATTTCCTCAAAGGCGAGGTTTAATCTTTATGTAATAAAATTCTAAAACAGCATTTTTCAAAAATGTATCACATATGTTCATGTCTTTAAAACTTTCTTTTAATCATAAAATACATGTCTTTAAAAAAAAACACTTGAAACAACATATGTGGATAAAATAAAATGTTTAAGCTGATGGTTCTTAAACTTAGTTGCACAATGGAATGACCCAGAGAATTTAAACATTACTGATGTCCAGGCTCTACTTTCAGAGATTCTGATTTACTTTATGTGGGTATTAGAACTTTAAAAGCTTCCCAGATGATTCTAATATTCAGCCAAAGCTGAAAACCACTCATGCCCTCACCATTCTATACCTTGGGAATTTGGTTGTATCCTTCCTGACCTTTTTCTCCATGTTTTTTTCCCAATATTTTGCTGCTGTAAACAATACAGCAATTAATAACCTTGTTCATAGGTCTTTTTGTACATCTGGTTATATGTGTGGAATAAATTCCTCTTAATGAAACTGCTGGGTCAAAAAACATATTTTTATAAAATTTTGGTGGATATCATTCTCCACAGAAGCTGTACAACTTTACATTCCAACCAGCAATGGGTGAGGTTGACTGCCTGTTGTCCATGTCCTTGCCAGCACTGTGACATCAAACTTTTTGAACTTTGCTAAACTGACAGGTGAAAGATAATAAAAAACATAACATTTAACATAAATTTGCATTTTTCTTCTTGTAGGTGGGTAGGTATTTTAAGATGACATTTGAATTTCCTTTCTGGTAAACTATTCATATTAACTGATCATTTTTCTATTGAGTTATTAGTATTTTTCTTACTGATTTGAAATTTCTTTACTAGGGAATATAGCCCCTTTTCCGAACTTGAGCTGCAAATTTCTTTTCCTAGCTTATTATATGTCTGTTGTTTTGCCTCTGGTATTTTTTGCCATACAGAAAATTTTCTATTTTTATATAGTTGATTTTCAATCTTTTAGAGCTTCCATGTTTTGTATCACACTTAAAAAAGACAGCATGATTTTAACTGATGATTCTCAGGAAAATTCTTTCGGTTTCTTTAGGACTTAAACAGTTCAGTTATATGAATAGAGGAGTTTCCATTCTAGTTGAGAGAAGATTCACCATGCCTGAATAAATATATATTTGGGATAGAAGGATAAACATTTTTCTGGAAATAATTTTGCAAAGTATCAATCATTTAAATAAGACAATATATTTGTATTCCCAGCAGTGGTTAACTACAGGCTTTTGAAATCTTGCATTCTCTCTTATAACCAACAGATTTTATTTTAGATAATCCTTGCAATATTTGAATGCAGCCATTTAAGACCTACACAAATAAAAGACAACAGCACCATACAATCCACATACGTGAAGATAACAGTTTTATAGGTGCTTACTGAAGGAGGAAGACTTGGTGGACCAGCTAATTACATCAGGGACTGAAAGACATTCTTTGACTAACGTGAACCATCTTTGATAGAATACTAGAAATCTCAACCCTTATTCCAGACACAGAGAAGACATTAGAACAAAAATATCATCACTATTTTAAACAGTGTACAGAAATGTAAAGTATGGCATTTTAATTTTATAGCCTATTTTTATTCCTATGTCCCTATCACTTCGTCTCTTTTAAAAAAAGTTCTTCTATCTAGGATAATGAAAAAAAAAGCACCCCTTCAAGATTTTTTTCAGAATAAATGTTCTACATCTAGAATTCAGGAAAATTATTTAAAATTGAACTCAAGAGCTATTATAATGATCTCTATCAATAAAACTTTGTTTATTTTCATTTTCAATTTACCTAAATAGATTACAAACCATATTTACCAGGTTTGTGGCAATTCAGATGGTCTACAGGTGGACTGTCACTCAGTTGCCAAATTGTTTTCACCTTCTTTTGACCACTATTTATTTCCACTCTCCATTTCTGTGGCTTCTCACTAAGAAAAAACATCGAAGGAAAAAAAAACAAGTTATTTCCTTTCTTCCTTTATAGTCATTTAATGAAGTCCTTATGTGATAAGCACTAAGGAAGAAGAGATGAACAGGTCACAATTCTAAATTTTGGATTTTAGAGTTCGACCTACACAGGACACTGAAATTGGGGAGTCATATCTAATAGGCATTTATAAACATGGGTCTGAAGCTCAGGAGAAGCTGAAGAGATGGGTTATAAATTATCATTAGCCCAGAGGAATTGAAGCCTTGAGTATGAATGCGATCACCCAGGAAAGATAAAAAGTAAGAAAAAAAGAGGGCAAAGGATAGACTTCTGGTAAAAAATTCACACATAAGAAGCAGGGAGAGGAAGAACTTGATAGGGAATCATTCTCAGTCTTGGAGGTGGGTCAGAGAGGTAGACAGAATGCTATGTCGGTTTCAGAAACGAAGAAAGGGGGTAGGTTCAAGAAGGCAATTGTGTTTAATGCCAAACAGCCTTATAAGTGTTTACAGAAAGAGAAAGAATTGGTGGGTCTGCTAATTACACAAGGGACTAAAAAACACTGTTATACTGGAAACTGTCCACTGAATTTGGCAAGTAGAAGGCCACTGGCAACCTTTGCCAGAGCAGTTTCATGGGAGTTCTGGGATTTGGATAAGAGAGAACTAAAGAGAGGGAGGGTATAAATAGAGCGGCTTGACTATGAGAGAAAGTTCAAGTATATATGCCGAGGGAGGACCATCATTTGAGGTAAGCTTAGTGTCCATATGGATGGCCAATCTGTCGTCTTAGCTTCTACCTCCCTAATCCCAAATTCTTCTCTCACTTCCACTGCCATACCCTTGACTTTGTCATTACCTTGATCACTTCTTTTCCAAACTGTCACTTCCCTTCTGGCTATATGTTCTACCCTGTTTGCCAAAGGAATAACAAATTGAGAGAAAAATGGAAGATGCTGAGGCCTAAAAGTCTAAAGAGAGTAGACAAAAGGTCTGGGAGAAAGCAGGAGAACTCTACCAGAGTATGGCCAGAGAGGGGGTAAAATAATTAAGATTTCAGAGGTGAAGCAGCTTGGGTCATGAGGTCCCCATGAAACAGACACCAAAACTGTCGGAAATCATGACAAGACTTAAGTATAATTTAATTATTAAATTGCTTACCTTTGATATAAGTTTTTTACAGCAGTTGGTCTTATTGGCAGCTGAAAAATGTGTTGCTCGTCAAGGGGATTTTGTTTATAATATTTTATGCAGGATCTAAAAAAATTAAAAAATGAACCTCTTTTGGGAAAAAAATGTCACTTGGACATAAAGTCTTTTTGGTAGCCTAAAACTCATAAGGGAAACATTTTATTGAATACCACTAACCACAACCTCAACAACAATGCTTTCAGGGACACAAAAGTAAAAAACAAACACACAATACTCACCTCCCAACAAAACTTAGGTTTTTTTTTCTTTCTTTGAAAGGAAATATTCACTTTTAAAAAATTAATAGTAGACACATTTCTCATAAATGTAAATATATTTAAGTTGAGCCCAAATAAAGGTTTAAGTGGGGAGAAAGAGATTTCAGAAAAAGAAAAACAAAGCAGCAAAAGAGAAAGATACAGCCTCCATGGTTTTCAGAGTCTAGGGAATTAAAGTGTTAACTTATGTATACTACTTATCTTTAATGGAAAAAAAAATAATAATGATTTCAAAAATTGCCCTCTATAACTGAGGCAAATTCTTATTTTGGAAAAGGCAGTGGTGGTACATTTCCTTCCACAGGGAAAAAGCAGCCCAGTCTTTCCACTGGATGGTTCACTAATTTCCAGTTTGAGGCCTTCAATACACATAAGACAATGGCAATCCATGCATGAGGATTATTCCAAACTTATTTTAGTCAAACTCATTGGCAGAAATCTCTTAAAATTACAGCAATACTATTAACAGAGGTCTAGTAATAACATTTAATTCCATTCAGTTATCATGTAGATGGCTGGCAATTAGTTTGGCCCCAATTTATAAGTATGTAAAAAAAAGAGAAGGAATTAATATTTATTAAGCGCTGATTAAGTATCAGGTACTTTATACACATTATATCATTTAATCCTGATAGCAAAAACATGAGGTTGTTAGATCCTTTTTATAGATAAGAAAACAAAATGCAGTTAAAGGAAACTTCTCTGTAAGTTAGGCAGTGCTAGAACCAAGTGTCAAACCTGATTCCTTCAGAATCCAAAGTATTTCCTTCCTATGACAGTGACTTAGAACCGTTCTGCTATTGTGAAGACAAGATACATAGATTCTATCCTGATAATAAAAAAAGTATATATTTTGGCTGCAACTACTTCAGAAGAGAATATATTTTTAAGTAATAAACCACAGAGAAATACTTACTGTGTTAAAGAAAAGAGGAGCTCATGCTGAGGTTTAATGAAAAGCTTGCAACTGACTAATATTTCTAGGATATGGTGGAGTTTTTGAACACGGTATACTTGTTCTTGTATATCTACTGATGGAGAAATGAAATATTCCTGGAATGAAAAAAGTATAAGCAAAATAGGGAGTTAAAGAAGTGGAATCTTTGGAAAGAATATATCTGTTCCTGCTAAACCTGAGTCTGGATGCTTCATTCACGGTGGTGGGGGCAGGGGCAAGACACAGAAGGCATAGCTAGATAGAATTTATCACCTTTCAATGCTATTCCTCTAACTAATCCACAAGTAAAGCCTTCACTGAGAACGTTTTAAGCAAACCATTACATGTATTTTCTGGTAAAGGCAAATCACAGAACTGCTTCATGAAGGAAGTTCAAGTGGGTGACTAATGCCACTTACTAACTCCTCTAGATGGAATAAATGGCATATCCACAACATAATTCTTAACTTCAATACTCTTGCTAGGTTGATGACAATGTCCACCTCTAAAAACAGGTAGTAAACTTGAAGTACCAAGAAATTAAGCAAGTGTACTGATAAGATTCCACTCAAATATATTACTGGTAAATTGGTACAACCTTTTAAAAAATAAATTTGGCAATGTATGCCAAGCACCATAAAATGCTCAGATCTTCTAATCCTATTTCTGATAACCCATCCTAAGGAAATAATCCATGGTAAATATGGTAGGTGAAATTCGATGGTGGCCCCTAAGATTCCCGCCCTCGGAGTATACATCTTGTATAATCCTCTCCCCTTGAGTAAGGTCAGAGCCTCTGAATAAAATGGGATGTCAGCCTCATGATTAGGTTACTATTTGACTTTGAATTAATCAAAAGGGAGATTATGGTCATTACTATGACCTCATCAGGTAAGCCCATTAAAAGAAAGTGAAACATTATAGATGCTCTCCTACTGGCATTGAAACAAACTGCCTGTCATGTTGTAGAGAGGGTCCCATGGCAAGGACCAACAAGCAACCTCTAGGACCAGACTGATCCTGGTCCAAGGTCAGGATTTTGGAGACCTTTGTCATAGGGCCGCAAGCCAACGAATTACACCAACAACAAATGAAGGAACTTCAAAGTGGATCTTTCCCTGGTTAAGCTTCCAGATGAATACACAGCCAGCTGATACCTTGATTTCTGCCTTGTGAAACCCTGAGCAAAGAGGACCTAGCTAAAACATGCCCAACTTCTGATCCCTGGAAACTAAGATAATAAACTTGTGTTCATTTAAGCTTTTAAGTTTGTAGTAATTTACTATGCAGTAACAGAAAACTAATACAGTAAGAAAAAAACATCAGAATCATTTGGAGTAGGAGATGGCTTATTTAAAAAGACATATTCCTGAGCCCTAGACCTACAGAGTCACTGGGGCCTAGGAATTAGCATTTCAACAAGCCTTCTGGAGATTCTCAACTTTAAGAACTACTGTGTCAAAAGTGTGGAATCAAACCATACTAAAAGAAAAAACAAAAGGCATATAAAATGACTAGAGGGGAATTCATAGTTTGGTGATAAGATTAAAGGAATATTTCCCCTATACAGTATTCTAACTTTCAAAAATGTTAATAAATGTTTAAAATTTGAATAGCAAAAAGAATCCAGTTGAGTCTTATTCTGCACAATAGACACAGCTAGAATTTTCTATCTCACATTTTTATGAGACAAACAACAAACAAGTTGATACTACAAAACTATTTCTAAAAGGATCTTCTAATGAATGTCAAGGGTCAGTACAGATGCCGTTCAATCTCCTAAACTTTCTAAATCAAAACACTAGAAAAATACATAATCTTGTAATTATGACCCCAAAACCTAGAAATCTCTTTTGAATCACTATATTAAAGAACATCACAAATTTTTTGAAGTTTGTGCATAACAGAAATTTATGAGTAACAGCAATAGGTCAAGAGAATACAAAGCGAAAATTCCTTTATAGAGCCTATCAAAGAAAGGCATTCTCTAACCATTTTAGCTAAAAGAGAGTTGTGGGAGTACATTGGCTTGTCAGCATCATAAATTTATAAAGAATGAGAAATGACACTAAGTGGGATAGCTTTTTGTCTGTCTTACTAGACAGTAGTAATTAAGGGCACTCACTGTCTCATTTATCTGTTTCCTAGGACCTAGGACTAAGGCTGATACAGATTAAGCACTTAATAATATATACAGAATGAATAAATAAAAAAAAAAATCAACTTTTGAAGAAAAAAATAAACTTACCAAATGATTCAAAGAAGCAAGTTCCTGACCTATTTATGAAAAATAATATACAAATGAGCTTGAGATATTCTCTGCTAAGGAATTTAAGTAAAAATTTTCGTAGTTCATATATAAAAGAGATGCTCGTGCTGAATAGTTCCTCAGAAATGGCCAAATTTTCCGGCACGTTATACCATAAATATATATCAGTATTTATTCTAAAAATGATCACAGCTTGCCCTGATAAAAATAACCAAGTGTTGGATATTAAAACAACATCTTATAAAAGGCTTCATATTTACTAAATTAACCTTATAGAATCTCAAAATGTTTTAACTAAAAACAAACAAACAAAAGCTATAATTATCTTTAATATTTTTATCAAGGGGGAAACTAAAGGCTGACAGAATGAAAATGTTTGTATCACAGTGAACCAGGAGTAAAGCCAGGACTACAAATGACTAGGGACAAGTAGAAAGATAAAATTTGAGAATACCTATGGGCTGACAAATGTGATGCACTTTTTAATTTTTTGAGCTGGGAAAGGAACTTACCTATGAAAAAACTGATATAATCTCTTTTTAGTTTGTCCAAACCAATTTCCAAAAGCATCTGAACTGGCATAGTCCCACTGAGAGAAATTGTGTCCATGGTCCCATGGTAAGACTGATGAATGAGTTTACTTAGTAAACTGTTACTTCCACTATGGAGCTAAAAATCAAGAAAATTTTATAAAACCACAAATAAATCCAATAAGGAAGAGAAGCAAACTATATTAGCTACAAGCTAAAAATTATAACCTTTCATCTTTAGTCTCCAGATACTATGAATTGTTTGAATAAAAGTCCAGAAGTTACGAATAGTTTCTAAAGTACCATTCTTGCCTCATTTGCTCAAGTCCTAAGCAATTAAGAAAGAGTTTAAACTTATCACTCCCAGATGTAATTCCACCAAAGAGAGGGCAGAGTTGGTTCTCTGACGCTTGACAACTAGAAATTCTCTTCTCCTGGCTAAGCATTATCGGGCATCTTTACCCAAATTGAACATCTTCAACTACACTGAAAATCTGCTGCTGTGGGAAAACTCTCCCTCAACGGTCCATGCATGTGTTATAAGGAACTCCTTATTGGTTACTATGTCCAACATATTAACTTGATCATTTGCAAATTAAAAAGAGCTCTGAATTTACAGATCTAACATGTGTTCCAAATGTTAAACAATTAATTTTTAACATACCTAAAATATTTGATATTTTTTCATTACTGTCTTCCTATCTCTAATTTTCATCACAATCTTTTATATTTTCTTTTTTTAAACTATTTTCACTTCATTTGCACTCATTACACATGGTAGGGATATACTTGTAAACATTTCACAAACACAGAAACTCAAGAAAAAAATTAAATGGCCAAGGCTACAATGCCTAGAATGACTTATGCCCAATTAGGGGCAGAGTGTGCACCCCTTTGCTCTGGATTGTAGCTTTGTTCACACCTGCGAAAGTGTCAAAGCTTTATATTCATGAATTGGCAGCCACATTATTGAAAATAATTCCTATTAAATGATGAATCTTTTTGTTTCTAGCTTTTATTTAGCTTTTTCCCGATTATAAAAGCATAAATTCATTATGGAAAATTCATAAAGTACAGAAACACATAATGCAGTTGGAAAACCCCATCTGTAACCCTCCACTAGAGGCAACTGCTAAATCATTTTAGTATATTTGCTTCCATGTTCTTCTCTCCAAAATTTACATTTTTAAATAAAATAGTGTATACTCCTTTCTTTTTACCGATCTTCATAAGCATTCTCCACATCATCTGTCAGCATCATTTTTAGCAACTGTTATATGAACCATTATGTGATTAAATTATTATTTAGCTATTCCATTAATAGTGGAAATTTATTCATTTACAATTTTTGCTACCATAAATAAGACTCTAATGACTATTCTGATACATAAAATCTTGAAACATATTTTTGTGTATGAGCTTAGGATGGATCTTGACAAGAGAATTATTAATTCAAAGGTCATGACAATTTGAGGATCATTATCAAAATTACTTTTTAGAGAGTGTTCCAATTTGTACTCTAATCAGTAGTATATAAGAATTATCATTTATAGCAATAATAACAATGAGAATATTAGTAGCTTACAAGTACTGAGCATTTAACTATGAGCTAGGTGCTCTGTATGAATTAAATTATTTAATCTTAAAACAACACTATGAGGAAGCTATCGTTCCTACTCCTACTTTACAGATGAGGAATTTGGGGCGTACAGAAGTAAAGGAATCTGCCCAAGTTTACAAAGCTAGTAAGCAGCAGGGCTGTAACTCAAACTCAGGCAGTCTGCTCCAGAAACTGTGTCCTTAATTGTCACGTTATACTGCTGAGAAAACATTCAACACACTCCATCCACTAAACCTACCCATGGCTGTATATCACCACGTTGTAGACTCTGGATGATCAATGTGAAACACTTCACCAAGTCTTGATATGAAATCACACCTTGAAAAACAAGTCAGTCTAACATTATTTTCATGGTATTTCTATAAATCAAATACGTCATTAATCTTAGGGATACACAAATGAAGAGGAAGAGAAGCATCTGTACTTTATAGATGGAGGAAGAGGAAAGAAAAAGGCCAAAAAAAAAAAAAAAAAGACAATACATTTCTAAAGAAAGAAATTAAACTGCTACAAAATAACACACCTAGTAAAATATTAAGAAATATCTTTTCCTTTTTCTAATAATTGCAATTTTACTAAGGTACATGTTTTGGTTCACACAAACAGCATAATCTAAGTCTTATACTTAAGGCAGGAGAAAGGAATAGAGTCCACGAACTGCTTTGTCTTAGTACAACTCTTGAGTAAAATATGCCAGTGCATTATTAGAAATGAATTTGTAAAACTAAGGAACCAGACTTCCACACAGAACTAGTAGTACCCACTGTATTATTTCCAAAGACTTAATTAAAAATAAACCTAAGAAGTAACAGGAAAAATTTTATTTTACAATCATGATGGACACCTACTGCTACTCATTTTGCACCACAGCTGCTCAGCAAAATCAAGATCACATCGTACTGTGAAAAGGCACTCAATGGAACGATCAAATGCAGCACTGTCATGCTTCATTGTCTGAAAAAGAAGTGTCAGAGAATACTCGGTTTAATTTTTTAAAAAGTGAAATAATTTAAGGCCAATAAGCTTTCAAATGTTGCTCTGAGAAAATGTGGATCCATGAACACACACAAAGAAAAGAGATACAAATCAATAGACCGTGAAAAGCTGGGCCCCTGAAATTGTTTTAAAACTGTGATGCCTAAAAACAAGCATCAACTTACCTTCATGCAAAAATATTTAATTAAATTACCATTTTCTCCATTTTCCTATTTGTCAAATGACAACACAATTAGCTTAATTTAATAATACCACCACTGGAATATTAACATGCCATCTTATATTAGTATACTAATGTAATACCATGTTATAGTATATTAAAATTCATTTCTACTTCTCTGCAGTTAAGCAATTAATAATAATACATATTAGTTCTCTTTAAAAATATTTATCAGCTCTTAAGGAAAAAAAAAAGACCAGTGCTGACATTAAAGACCAAGAAAAAACTAACTTTAAAACAACGCTTTTGCTGTACCAGATCCATTTGATCCATGGACAACAAAACATGAAAGATAATCATACAACCACATTTTAAAAGCTATTTCAGTGTATATTTCTAACTGATAATAATCACTTACCTCTGTGTCTTTTTTTGTAGAATCACCAAATCCATCCAGCTTATTTAAGTCTAGAAAGTGGCAAAAGCTCATTAATTCTGGATTTAATTTTTCTGCTTTCCAAATTATTTCCATCTTGACCTTTTTTCAAATGGCAAATGAGAATGGTAAAAGTATAACTAGGAATTTTAGCAAATTACTTAACTCTCCAATGGAAGTCATATAGATACCCAACAGGTAGGGGTGAGAGGATGAACTGAGATACAGTGAAAGCCCCTAAGGCACAACATCAGGTACATGATAGGCACTCGAAGGATACTGTTCCAATCCACCTTCTCCTAAAAATCTCAAGTATGGTTGTAGTATATAAATTTTAAATTAAATCTTATTCTTAAAATTACTTAGGCCATTCCATTAGCAATTCAGAATGAAAGTTATCCTTCTGATCATGACAGACTTCATAGCTTTATATATCCCAACTACAAATACCAAGACTAAAAAGACAACTTATTTAAATATTGTAAGTATAAATTCCCAATTAAGAAAAATAAGGTAGAAGCATAAATTAGGAAAACAAATACCATTCAGAAATTCCTGCACAAGTTCAACAGCAGATTTTGCTTCCAGAGGTGCAGGCCATTCAGTTATACCAGTCCTCAAACCATCAGCCAAAACCTATGCGAGATTAAAAAAAACCCAAAAGCTTGTTAGCAGAAAACATTGTTTAATCAATAAGGATATATTTAGTAAAACAATATTAGTTACAATAAAATTTCTTGAATGTTTAATCTCATGCCAGGAACTGTTGTCTCATATTAGCACGTCATTTAATTCTCACAAAAACTCTATGAGGCAGATAGATATTAATATTTACCTCCATTTTATTTGAAGCTAAGAGAGGCTAAGTAACTTGCTTAAGGTCACACGATTAGTAACTGACAATAGCAGGACATATATCCAAAGACGGTGTTCTGAACTGCGATGCTACATGCAAAGATGTTACAGGATTCAAGGCTGATGAGCCTTCCCTAAAGATGCTTTTAATTTGGGTTAAGAAGGACCAATACAGATGAAATAACTAAATGGAAGTTTATATAAAACTAATACAAATGCATATGCTTATACATACAATATCTAAACCAAAGTATTATGGAAAGGGATCAAGTTAGGCTGGAATAGCCAGAGGAACAATGTGAAGCCTCAGCTCAATTCCAGCTCAATTGTGGAAACCATCAGCTACAGAGCAGGGAAGGAGCATGGAATGTGATGAAGAGGGTGGGGTGATTCCAACTAAGGTGGAGAAAATACCTAGGGAATACTGGGAAAGAAGATTATAAAGACTAGAAGCTAGACAGGAATAGTGATCTTAAAATTTAAAAATATTTTTTATTTCACATGGAAGACAATAGCCACTATTGATTTTTTTAACAAGAAAAATGACATGATCAAGTAGTTCAGAAATCCTTCATCAGAAATACCCAGGATAGATTCTAAGGAAAAGAGAAAGTACTATGTTTCTCAAAAGAAGTGATCTTATCCTCTACCTCCAGGAGGTCTTTGAGAAAATGCGCAGATAATTTTTGGTGTCACAATGGCTGAGGTTACAGGGGCACTTAGAGCATTTAATTTGGTAGAGAGTAAGGATGCTAAACATTTTGAAATGTGTACAATGGTCCCAACCCACAAAGCGTGGTCCTGCCCAAAATGCCAATAGTCTCCCTGTTAAGAAACAATGAATGACCATTAGAGTGGTCCAAGAAGGAGGTGACAAAGGCTTTAACTAAGATGGGCACAGGGAGAGAAACGAGAAACTTCAAAGGAACAACAATATATTCCTCCTATCCATTTATAAAAACACAGAGGATTGAACTCAGAGAGACTATGGCCCTGTGCATGCACATCTAAGATTTGGTGAATTTATAAGGGGGATTATAACAAAGCACGGACTTTCAAGTTAGAAAGACACACATGTATTTGAAAGAGTTTTAAACCAGCTCTTGCACTTACCAGTTGCTGATGCCTCAGGCAAAATAACAGAGACATCTAGCACCCCATGGCAGCTTCTAGCTGTGGTAGTAAGAGGTGGTGATAGAAATAATTCTTATTAAAGTAAAATACAGTTGGCTCTTGAACAACATGCATACTTATGTGCATACTTTTTTAATAAATACAGCAAATGTGTTTTTTCTTATGATTTTAATAATATTTTTTCTCTAGTTTATTTTATTGTAAGAATATAATACATATAATATACAAAATATGTGTTAATCGACTGTTATCAGTAAGGCGTCCAGTCAACAGCAGGCTATTAGTAGTTAAGTTTTGGGGGAGTCAAAAGTCATACTTGAATTGTTGAGTGTTTTGGTGGGGTGAGGATGGGTAAGTACCCCTAACCCCTGTGTTGTTCGAGGGTCAACTATATAAGGGAAATCGAAGGAATGGTGGAACCAGACAGGGATTCCTGATCTGGAGATCTAGTCTGGAGAAGATTTCATGTTTCATTTTGGATATAATGAGTTTGAGGCAATAGCACTCTACTCAAATTAGAAATAACTTGGTGGAAGTAGGAAAAATGGGGACTTAAAAGTGGGATCTGGAGTTCCCTCAAAGGCATTAGTCAAATCACTTAATGTATAAGCTCTCTGCCAGGGTGAAGAGAGAAGGGCAGAGACATGAGGATGGAAGTATTATAGCAGCCCACTGCAATGATCCTGAAAGAGGAGCTTTCAAGAAGGTGAGAAAGGTAGAAAAAGTATCAAGTTTTGTACAAACATTGAAATAATAATAATTGGAGGGAAAAAGATAATAATAATTGGAGGGAAAAGGAATGCTTGGTACTACACTAGTTGCTACGAGCACAGTAGGTTAACTGGCACTGAAGTCTAATAAGAGAGCCAGGTAAGTAAACAAATTACTGTTTGATGAACAGTCTGACAAGAGGTATGTGTGGAATTCTACAGCAGCTCAACGCACAGGCAGCATAAACCATTCTGGGGGATCAATGCAATCATCCTAGGTGAAGATGTCACAGAGAGTTCACGCAGCAAAGAGGCTGGAAAAGGGTACACCAGGCAGATCAAGACACAAACACCAGAAAGTGACAAAATGTGACAGGATCGGAGCTACAAAAGCAGGAACCTCAATATGGCAAGGGTTAGGGATTCACTGGAAGTGGAAGTAGGGTGTTAGATTAAGCTAAAAAAATAAGTAGGCACCAATAGAAACCTGAAAAGATGCTAAATGTTATTAGCCATCAGGAAAATGCCACATAATGAGATATTACTTAATCCTCACTAGGATGGCTATAATAAAATACAAAACAAAACAAAACAAAAACAGATAACATCAAGCACTTGCAAGAATATGTAGAAAATGAACCCTCACATATGGCTGGTAGGAATGCAGAATGGCACAGCAACTTTAGAAAACAGTTACAGTTCAGAAGTTCCTCAAAAGGTTAAACATAAAGTTACCATATGAACCAGCAACTCCACCCAAGAGATGTGAAAAGATATGTCACACAAACACATGTACATGACTGTTCATGGCAGCATTACTCAGAATAGCCAAAAAGTTAGAACTGAAATGTCCATTAGTTGATGAATTGATAAACAAAATGAAGGGTATCCATACGATGGAATGCTATTCGGCAATAAAAAGGAACAAAGTACTACAGAAAGTGGTTGCCAGGGGTAGTGAGGATGGGAGGTGACTGCTAATGGGTATGGGGTTTCTTTCTGGGGTGATGAAAATGCTGTAAAATTAAATATGGTCATGGCTGTACAACTCAGTAAGTATACTAAAAACCACTGAACAAGTGAACTTTATGGGATGTAATTTATATCTCAATAAAGCTGAAAGTTAAAAAGAAAGAAAGAAAGAAAGCAGTGGCTGGATATAACTGAGTTTGTATATCAGGCTAAGACATTTGGAATTTCTACTGCATTAAAATGAGGCACCCCCTTGAGATTCAATTTGTAGAGTAGAGCTAAAATTATTGAAATGTAAGATTCTTGAGGTACGTGCTCATTAATCTTTAGCATCAATCATAACCTAAGTTATTAACAAGCAGATTATATGTGCATTTGAAATAAATTGCCAGCTAACCCACCTGGAAAGAAAGAAATCCATAGTATAAATAAAAACCAAACACTCAGTAGAAAACGCTGAAGAATTGTAGCTATTAACTATCTAATGAACGCTCCCTTTAAATGTAAGGACAACTACCACATAAAATTAAACTGTCTAAACTGCCAAGAGTATCCAATGCACACATAACATTTGGAACCAATTTCGAAGGACACAAAACTAAGTAACAATTTTAGCAAACATTTTTATGGAAACAAAAGATTTAATGCAAGTTACAAATTCCAGAAGCATACTCACAAGAAGAAATTTCAGTTCTCTGTGAAGATGATTCAAAGGACTTCTGGGATCACCCGATTCCACTTTAATATTCTAAAAAGTTTCCAAAGTCAGTTTTTACTGATAATCCCATTTTCTTGGCATAAGAGTCATAATTACTTGAATTTCAAACTGCCCATACATTAAAAATATATTTCATAAAGCATACTTTTTTCCTTTTGTTTGCTTAATAATAAGCATTTCCTACTTTATTAAAGATACTTTAAATAATGATTTTCAAGGAATATACCATATTTCATCATGGAAATCTATTTTCATCATGGAAATCATTTCCCTATTGAATATCCAGGTTTTATTTTTACTATTTTGGAAACACAGCTATATTGCTGTGAATATCTTCGTACATATATTTTTGTTAGCAATTCTGATTAATTTTTTAAGACAGATACCTAAAAATGTAAATACAAGGTGAAAAGACTTAATAGTATAATGATTTTTGATGTGTTGTCAATCTCTTTCTGTACTCTTTTAAGAACAGCAGAGATAACTCACTTTAATGATTTTACTTGTGTCCCAACTCGAGCCTTTATCACTGGAAACTTCTTAAGTTACATAATTGCAGCACTGTGGGCAACTGATAGATAAGATCACCTGACAAAACTTCCACTGGCTGCCCTGGTGAGACTTCAGGGGCCAGCTGAGCCTTTCAGAGCTCAGGAAGGGTTGGGATTGGAAGCATGCAGCAACAGCAACAAGCAAGTTAAAAGGAAATCTACATTGAGTAAATGCAACAGAAAATAGGGTTCATTCCTACCAGAGTTGCATTTGAAGAGAGTGGAGGAATTTGAAGAATCTCATCCACAGGACTCCAGGAAATATCCAAAGTGATTGTAGTTTGTGATGCTGGGACTGAATCATCCAAGGCAGTGGACTTCAAGAGCTCATACTGGGCAAAGCCCCTGGCTGTAACCTGAAAAGAGTGCATCCAGCAGGCCATTAGCCATGCTTTCACATGACCAAAGACCCATTATCAAAACAACTTTGATTCTTTTCCCAAAAGAAAAAGCGCCATACTTTTATCCCAAATGGAAAAATTAGACAATTATTTTTAATCACAAATATAAGCTAAAAGGCAAGAAGGCATATATATTAACTTTAGTCAATAGCTGATATGAAAATACAAATATTTTAATACTGTAGAAAAATAACTAATCATAGTATGAGTGAAAAAACTTTAAACTAGGAAGGCAGTTCAATAACAATTTAAAGAAAATAATACTGTAAAATACTTACAGTAGACAAGTGATGTCTTTTCTTATGTGAATTTTTTAAGTCTTCAAGATTTACAGAATAATTTTTATCAGCTATGGTCATGAAAGAAAGAAAAAAATTTAAGATATAATTCAAAATGATATCTTAGCACTAGAAAATTCAAATTCTGAGAGTACCACAACTTAACAATAGTTGAAATTAAATTTTAAATGATAAATGAAATATTTATAAAAGAATGAAAGTGGAACAAAGGTCAATACGACCAAAAATATAATTATATGTCTACTCTGAAATTGGAATTATATTGTCATTATATTCAATTTTCTATCCTGCAATGAAAATTTCCAAAAAATACACACATACAAATCAAATGAAACTCAAATAAACAGCCATAGACTCCTATACAGACTTTTGCAGATCTGTTTCTGGTGTTTCTGGAATATCGCCTACATGCTACAAGTTACACACTAGAGTAGATTCATGGTGGCTAACACAAGTTCCATTGTGTGCACTTCCCTCTTAACAATATCCACTTTTAGGAAAAACCACAAAACAATAACTATCAAATAAATACACCCATAAAACTAGTAAGAGTGAGCACTCACCTTTACAACTGACCACATATAAGACAATTCCTGTAATGCTGTTATTTGTTGTGATAAGCTCAGCTCCCAGCCAACAGGTCCCTTCAGGATCTGAGCTGTCACACCTTACCCAAAGGGGAGGAAGGGCAGTAACTGGCCGATTAATCTTCAAATGGGTCATATTAGGATTGTGAGCCATGGTGTAAAGTCCAATTAACTGCCTTAAAAACAAGAGTAAGAAGAATAAATTATAGGTAGAGGTTGCTAATCAGTCAAAAATTTTTTTCCCCAAAGGTATCATGAAGGATTTCCCAGAAATAAAAATCTGGAAATTAGTGGCAAAATGCACATAAATAGTTCACCCAGTGAAGAAGTGAAAGAAGGGTACACCATGGAGGTCAAGACTCACATACCTGAAAGTGACAGGATCAGAGCTACTACAAGCAGAAAGCTCAACATGGCAAAAGTAGAGGTCCGGTGGGAGTGGAAATAGGGTGTGAGATTAAGCTAAGGAAATAAGGATATGTCAATTATATCTCAATAAAGCTGGGGAAAAAAGAAAGAAGTAGAAGCAAATAAGCACATGAAAAGATGTGTGAAGTCATTAGGACACTTAAAGAAATCTGAATATGGACTGTGAATTAAATAACAGTATATAACAATGTTAAATTTCCAGATTTTGAGCATTGTTCTGTGGTTATATAAGAGAAAGTACTTGTTGTTAGGAAATACATAATGAAGTATTTAGGAGTAAAGAAGTACAGTATCACCAACATCCTGTCAATATTTCATAAAAAATTTGTGTGTGTGAGATGTGTATATTATACAGATGATAGGAATGGGGGAGGAGGAAAAGGAGGAGGAAGAGAAGGAATAAGAGAGTGACAAAGCTGATGCAGCAAAATGTAAACAATCTCTGTTAAGAATATACAGAAGTTCCTATACTATACTATTCTTGTAACTGTTCTGTAAATTTGAAAGTATATCAAAATTAAAAGTTACCCAATAATGTGACCTAATTTTTTTTCTAAAGAGATGAAAACTGAATTTATTACCAACAGATGTTCAGGAAAGGAATTTCTAAGGGATTGTACTTCAAAAAGGAAATACAATAATCCCAAAAGGAAGATCTGAAACACAAGAAGAAATGGAGAGCAAAGAAATGATAAGCATATGGGTAAATCCCAGCAAACAATGGCTGGAGAAAACAATACAAATAATTAATGTTTAAGTTGTGGGGGAGAAAAGAAAAAAAGCCAAATAGGACTTAAAATTAAGAAGCCATGAAAGAAAATGTTAATTTAACTACACAAAAATGTTAGAAGCTTCTATATAGCAAAACGAAAATCACCATGGAGAGTCATTTTATGATTATTGTCATTACAGTTATTATTCTGTTATTATTTATATGACTGTATCCTCCAAAACTTCTTGATGGCAAGGACTTTTTGGTTTTGGAGGTCGGAGAGGCCAGGCATGGCTACACAGGGAGAAGGCAGGAAGTGAAGCTGGCAAGGAAGACAGAGGCAACAGGGTTTCTAACAGGGTGGGATCATTCTTCATTGGGCAGGAGAGCCTCATGCCTTGTAGGACATTTATAATCCATGGCCCAGGCCCATAGCTCCCCTCAGTCATCATGAAGACCAAAAAGTACCCTGCAATTTCCAAATGCCTGCTAGGCATAGTACCCCTGGTGGAGGAGCACTGGACTAGACAAGAGAGGCTCCTATATGTCACTCAAAAGGAATTTGGATGTTATCATGAGGCAGGGAGAACCACTGAGGGATTTATAAGCAGGGAAAGAACACGATCAGGCTTTCTGGCAGCAGTGAGGAAGAAAGATTGGAGGGGAACCAGATTAGACACAGGGAAAGCATTTAAGAAGCAACGACAACAAACAGTATAGGGGACTAGAGAAAGGGAAGATCACCACCACCTTTCGGGTCATGTTTGGGATACCTAGTAAAGCTATCCTTAGAGAGGTGGGTATACATATCTAGGGGCGAGGGGATGAAGCGGGGAGAAGGGATCTAGGATAGACACATATTTTTTCTCTAATGCTTCAATTTAAATTCCTACCCTCCACCCTTATTCTTATCTCAATACTAAGAAAAAACTTACCTTGCCCTCCCAACTGGTAAAGCGAGTGGTCCAATATTCTCACCAGTAGAGAAGTCAGAAATAGCAGTTTCTTCAGATTGTAGCTCTTCAACATTACTTGTTTCTTCCTTTTCTAAAGGCTTGAAAAATGTTTTTTAAATTATTTAATCAGGTAAAAGCACACTTAAGAAAACAGTCAACTCTTCACTATTCTAGAACATAATGTACTGATTTCTAAAACTTTAAACACAAATGATTGGGTTATGGCAAGAATCATAGTACAGATCAGTTTAGTACCGACAAATCTTGCCATCAGAAGTATCCCCCTTGTCCTATCAAAAGATATTGCTGTAAATTGCTACTGATAAAGGAAGCATCTGACGCCATTAGAAAAGCAAGTTCTCTAACACATACAAAATGATGCGCTAAAGACAAAATACCAAGGGAAGCCCATGGGAGACTCCCTGATTTTGTTAGATTCCTCATGACTAAAATGTGAAGATCCATAGCTCTTACTCCTTAAAGCTCTTCTCAGAGCTATTAGCTCTCATTTGTGTTACAGGGTTCTGATATCTATGTGTTTAAGTAATTAATTAGCTCAGCCTTGCCAATAACAATAATTACGAGTTAACATTTCCTGAGCATTACTAGGTACCAGCTACTGTTCTAAATTTTCTTTTATTCTTCATAAAGGCCTTGAGATAGATATTATTAACCCTGTTTTAGAGATGGAGAAACTGAGGTAGTGAATGGCCAAAAAACTTGCCTAGGATAACATGACTGCGTGCAAAGCCAACATTTGAATCTAGGTCATCTATTCTAGCAGTAAATTCTCTGCTGACTTAATAGGTATGAGACCTAGGTGTTTTTTCAATTTTGAATTTCTATTGCCAGATTCCAGATTCCCTTCCAGGCCTGGCTTTTCAAAAAGTTCCTAAAACTAGAGGTACCCAAGAAATATCATTTATTCCTTGTTTCCACTTTTCAATAGTCATGAACCTAAAACTCATGCCTTAAGCTCTACTGGTCTTTGAAGAAACAAAGGCCATTTTAATTGTTCACCATCCAAAAATTCCAGGCCTCACTGAATTCCAGGCAACTCCTCACAACTCCAAGCTGCATTCTTACTGGTATCCTAACCCAGATTTCCACAAATGCCCTCTGTCATCTTTACCTTTTCCAAGATAACTCATCTTCATCCGACCATCTTCATTTTTTTCAGCTTTTACTCTACATACATTTCCCCTCACCCCATTAAAGTCCAAACTCAACCACATAATTCACCTATATTTTCCAAGCATCTGTCTACCATATATAAGCACAAATAACACTCATTCATTAACATAAAAAGACAAGTAGCTCCCCTCCTCAGAAAAGAGTTTTCATGTGTGTGTATTTAAAATGAAGAACTCCCTGTCCATTTGTCACAATCCTTGTCCAGACAGAAAGAGTCCTAAACCAGATAGGGGCCTTCCTTCTAAAGGAACTTCCACTTTCCCCTATTAGATCTTGTTCCTATTTACTTCAGAAAACAATGTAACCAAAGGAATGGATGCTGGCTCTAAGCAACTGGTATTATGTGACAGCATTATCAGCGTTCAATAAAAACCACACACCAAAACAGTTACCAGAATTAAAACACAAATGTTTAAGGTTGTAATTATAAAGTGATACAAAAAGTAAAAAGTTCCCTTTTGTTACATTTAACAAACAAAATTTAAAGTAGAACTTCATGAGTTATAGCTACTGAGCACTTGAAATGTGGCCAAAACAATAGTGATTTTAAAGATGTAGTATGGAAAAAAAGAACTTAAAATATCTCATTAATGATTTTTATATTAATTAGGCATTGAAATAATAATAATAGTAGATATAATAGATTAAATACGAAACATTATCAAACCTAATTTCAGACCCAGAAATCCCACTCCTGGGTATTTATTGTAAAGAAAAATTAAAGTTATGCTTATACAAAAATCTGTACAAAAATTATTATAGTAGCCCTATTCATGATTGTTGAAGACTTTAAACAACCCAAATGTTCTGTAAAAGGTGGATGAGTAAATAAACTGTGGCATATCCATACCATGAGACATTACTGAACAATTAAAAGAAATGAACCCTGATATACAACTTGGATGACTCTCAAAGACTGAGTGAAAGAAGCCAGATTCAAAAGATTACACACTATATGATTCCATTCATGACATTCTTAAAAGAGAAAACTACATTGAGGGAAAAGAGTTTAGTGGTTGCCAAGCAGTAGCAGCTGGGAGAGGGTATGATTTTAAAGGGATAGCACAAAGGAGCTTTTTGGGGTGATGGAACTGTTTTGTGTGTTGATTATACTGAATGTGTTAAAATTCACAGGACTGGAATAACAAAAGAAAAAAAGTCAATTTTACTGAATAATAATTCCACTTATTTTTTTTTATGAGAAAATTTTAAATTATATATGTGGTTCACATTATATTTCTATTGGACAGCACTGTACTTATTTCTAAAAGAATTGAATCTTCTTTCAAAAATATGATTTAAAAAATGTATACATTTGAGATTGTTACCACAAAACCAAATTTGGCTATGAAGAAATTAAACAACCACAAAGCCCAAGCACTACTTACCACTTTTTCCAAGATGAATACTACGTCACTTTCATTTAGAATATTTTTCAAAGGGTTTGGTTGACCTTTGCTGATCAACTGCACTTGGACATCAGCCTATTAAAAACAGATATCAACCAATGTTTTTTACATATATATACAAATATATATTTGTACAAATATGTAAACACATAAAGACCTGTTCTATGCAAGTAACTGAAAAGGAGAGTTTGAACAAGACATAACGTTTTAAAAGTAAGATTTCATTTATTTCTTGTCCATGTTGCTTTTCATGTTTAGAAAATCTAGCTCATATCTATACCTATACATGTTTCGAGACCCACCTAAAGTACACCCTGCCTTGTAAAAGCCTTCTTTCGATTAGGATCATACCAACATTTTTTCCTCTAATCATGTTGTATTTATTGTTATGTACCAAAATTAACCCTTTACTAAACACTATCCTCCTTCTGATTATACTATGGAATTTAGAAATATATCAGTTTATAGAAAATGAATATTCTTTTATTCCAATTACAACACACGTTTATTGTAGAAGAGTTGGCAAATAGATAGCTAACAGATTTCTTAAAACACTTATAATTTTACTAGCCAGAGTAATCACTACTGTTATTAGTCTCATTGGTGTATATTTTTCCAAATCTTTTTCCAGGCATATGTCTATTTAAATCAAAGTGTATCTATTATTTAGATACTCGGATAGGATTTTGCTTAATAAAATAGGACATTCTAATAATTTTATGTCATGAACTTCTCATGCCATTAAATTTCTTTGGCTGTGTAGTACCATGGCTCTATCATCATACTGTTCAACATTTAGGTAGTTTCAAGTTATTTGCTATAATATACATCCTGAATTACTTTCTTAAGATGTATAAAATCATTTTGATATTGTCAGATTGCCTTTCAAATATCATACCCACACATCTGCATTGTCATCACTTATGTAAACACAGAGTATTTTCAGTATCTATTTTTACCATTTCGCAACAAAAAATAGTACCGTTATTGTTATAATTTTCATTTATTTGATCATTAATGAAGGTGAACACTCTAATATACTTATTATTGACAAATATCTTATTATTTAAATCTATTTAATTTCTTATTTTGGATATTGAAGCATTAGATGCCAAGTTCAGAGAACAAAGGATGCTGGGTTATTCTAATCTACTAGGTTCCTGAGTTCCAAATACTGTTGTGGGTTGAATATGTCCCCCCGAAAGATATACTTAAATCCTAACCCCTGGTTCCTTTGAATGTGACCTTATTTGCAAATAGGGTGTTTGCAAATGTAATCAAGTAGAGGATTAACCTGGTTTACAGGGGCCCTAAATGCAATGACTGGTGTACTTACAAGGAGTGAGAGATTTTAGAGACACAGATATACAGAGAGAAATTGCACGTTGACAAATGCAGAAATTAGAGATTAACATGTAACAAAAGAAAAAAAGTCAATTTTACTGAATAATAATTCCACTTATTTTTTTTTTACGAGAAAATTTTAAATTATATATGTGGTTCACATTATATTTCTATTGGACAGCACTGTACTTATTTCTAAAAGAATTGAATCTTCTTTCAAAAATATGATTTAAAAAATGTATACATTTGAGATTGTTACCACAAAACCAAATTTGGCTATGAAGAAATTAAACAACCACAAAGCCCAAGCACTACTTACCACTTTTTCCAAGATGAATACTACGTCACTTTCATTTAGAATATTTTTCAAAGGGTTTGGTTGACCTTTGCTGATCAACTGCACTTGGACATCAGCCTATTAAAAACAGATATCAACCAATGTTTTTTACATATATATACAAATATATATTTGTACAAATATGTAAACACATAAAGACCTGTTCTATGCAAGTAACTGAAAAGGAGAGTTTGAACAAGACATAACGTTTTAAAAGTAAGATTTCATTTATTTCTTGTCCATGTTGCTTTTCATGTTTAGAAAATCTAGCTCATATCTATACCTATACATGTTTCGAGACCCACCTAAAGTACACCCTGCCTTGTAAAAGCCTTCTTTCGATTAGGATCATACCAACATTTTTTCCTCTAATCATGTTGTATTTATTGTTATGTACCAAAATTAACCCTTTACTAAACACTATCCTCCTTCTGATTATACTATGGAATTTAGAAATATATCAGTTTATAGAAAATGAATATTCTTTTATTCCAATTACAACACACGTTTATTGTAGAAGAGTTGGCAAATAGATAGCTAACAGATTTCTTAAAACACTTATAATTTTACTAGCCAGAGTAATCACTACTGTTATTAGTCTCATTGGTGTATATTTTTCCAAATCTTTTTCCAGGCATATGTCTATTTAAATCAAAGTGTATCTATTATTTAGATACTCGGATAGGATTTTGCTTAATAAAATAGGACATTCTAATAATTTTATGTCATGAACTTCTCATGCCATTAAATTTCTTTGGCTGTGTAGTACCATGGCTCTATCATCATACTGTTCAACATTTAGGTAGTTTCAAGTTATTTGCTATAATATACATCCTGAATTACTTTCTTAAGATGTATAAAATCATTTTGATATTGTCAGATTGCCTTTCAAATATCATACCCACACATCTGCATTGTCATCACTTATGTAAACACAGAGTATTTTCAGTATCTATTTTTACCATTTCGCAACAAAAAATAGTACCGTTATTGTTATAATTTTCATTTATTTGATCATTAATGAAGGTGAACACTCTAATATACTTATTATTGACAAATACCTTATTATTTAAATCTATTTAATTTCTTATTTTGGATATTGAAGCATTAGATGCCAAGTTCAGAGAACAAAGGATGCTGGGTTATTCTAATCTACTAGGTTCCTGAGTTCCAAATACTGTTGTGGGTTGAATATGTCCCCCCCGAAAGATATACTTAAATCCTAACCCCTGGTTCCTTTGAATGTGACCTTATTTGCAAATAGGGTGTTTGCAAATGTAATCAAGTAGAGGATTAACCTGGTTTACAGGGGCCCTAAATGCAATGACTGGTGTACTTACAAGGAGTGAGAGATTTTAGAGACACAGATATACAGAGAGAAATTGCACGTTGACAAATGCAGAAATTAGAGATTAACATGGGTCTATAAACCAAAAAACACCAAGGATTGTTGGACACCACCAGAAACTAAGAGGAGGCAAGGATCCTTTTCTAGAGCCTTCAGTGAGAACAAGGCCCTGTTGACACCTTGATTTCAGACTTAGCCTTCAGAATGGTGAGAGAATAAATTTCTGATGTTTTAAGCAAACCAATCTGTGGTACTTTGTTACAGTAGTTACAATACAGGTATCAAATGGCAAGAATTCAGACAGGGAGAGATTAATACATTTACCTGCATATACTTGATTCTTGAGTATTCAGATAGTAAAAGATAACTATATTTGTATTTTTTTTCCTGTGATTACTTATTTGTGTCCTTCTATTATGGCTTCTTTTTTCTTACTGATTTTTAATAGTTTATATATTTTATATATCTGGTATTACACTTATCATTTATGACTATTTCTCCCCAGATTATTAGCCTTTAGGCAAATAATTTACTTTAGTTCAGTAATTATTTTATGGATTAAATTCTCTGGGCAGTTTATCAATGGAACAATTGACATATATTAGATGCTTAATACATCCATGAATGTTTATAGCAGCTTTGTTCATAACTATCAAAAACTGGAAACAATCCAAGTATCAACTGGTGAATAAATAACGGAATTGTAGTGCATCCATACAATGGAATACTATTCAGCAATAAAAAGAAATGAACTACTGATACACACAACAACAAAGATGAATCTCAAATGCATTATACTTATTGCTAAAAGCCAAACCCAAAAGGCTACATAGTGTATGATTTCATTTATATGACATTCTGGAAAAAGCATAACAGAAGACAGAAAACAAAGATAGAAAACAGATTAATGGTTGCCAGAGACTGGGAGCAGGGAAAAGTGTTGACTATGAAGCTACACGAGGAGATTTTTGGGGGTGATAGAAATGTTCTATGTCTTCATTATGGGGGTGGTTATATAACTGAGTCAATCTGTAAAAATTCATAGAAACTAACTCTATGTAAACTAACTTCCATAAACCCAACTTTTTAAAATTCACAGTTTTAGGATTATAGAGTTGTGTTTAAAAAACAAATAAGTTTTTCATACCTCATAGATAAATGGATCTTTACAGATTCCTTTCTTTTCTTCATCAAATATCCTGAAATGTAGAACCACATGTCATTTAAACTCAGGAGTTAGTTATCATTTCATCTCTGCGTGACACCAGTGAGAAAAGCAAAATGCAAAGTAGTCATGGCAGCTCTAAGGCATAGTTAGGAAGAGGGAAAAGGACAGAAAAAGAGTATTAGGTTAAGAAGAGGACAAAGAAATGTGGTAGAAATTAACAGACTGCTGCCCACAATTGGGTACAACCACTTCTCAGAGGCAGCATGAAATTAAGAGTACCTACCTCTACTCTTATGCCTTTTAAAACATATTACTAGCTACTATTAAAATGTAATTTACCACATGACTTTTGGAAAGTAAAAATGACTGGATTCTGATCTGCCATTAAAAAGTAAGCAACTATAGATAAGTTATTTAAGGGTCCCAGGCCTTAGATTTCTATGGCTAAAATGGAAGCATCTATCCTTCCTCTACTTTTATGAGATGTTACTAAATAATTAGTAAATTTGATGCTAAACAATTTCCTTTTTAAAATGTAAGCATAAACTCTTGGATATCATTTAATAATTATCATTTCAGCCCAGAAAGTTTTAAAATAGTGATCCCCAAGCATGTAAACTAACGTATGAAAATGCACATCAGCCTAATCTACATTGTGAAAGAGGAAAGAATCTTTAGACAAAGGAATTGTTTCAGGATGTCATTTATTATTTTATCTACTCTATGACTTACTGAAATAACTGGAGAGATAGGCCTGTGACTGATTCACTTTTGCCATTTTGGACAAGATTGTGACTTATTCTTAAAGATGTCTATTTTATGTATAACTCAGGGATGTTATTCAATCAATCATTCAACAATCATTTCTGGAACGTGTATATTTCTCAAGCCATAGAATTAAATATTATGTAGCAGTTAATAAAAACAATGAGACTGACCTATACAGTCTTATACTGAAAGCTATCCAAGACATTGTCAGTTTTAAAAAGCTAGTGCTCTTTCTATAGGTAAAAAAAAATTGACAGGAATTACCACTTCTGTAATCAGAAAAAAAGCAATAAAGAGTAATGATGAAAAGTTATGACATTTAGAAAATAAGGGGTTAATTATATCAGTGGTTCTCAAAGTGTGGTGTCAAGCCAAAAGCTTCTGCTTCACCTGTAATCTATGAGAAATTCTTCGATCCCATCCAGACCTACTAAATCGAACACCCTGGAGGTGGGGCCCAGTAATCTGTTTTGACTACCCCCGCCCCGCGCCAGGTGATGCTGTGATGCACACTCAAATTTGAGAACTACTGGATTCGATTTTTACATTGGATGCAGAACCAGATGGAACCCTCTTTGATACTAGTACTTCACTATGAGAATAAAATGAAGTCTTGGTGCACGGTGAAATAAAAGTGTTTCAAAAAACCAACACACTATCACGTTATCATTACAACTGTAGCTCATATGATAACTATCTTGAATAGGCTATAACAATATCTTTCAGCAGGGCTTGAAACAGATGAGGGATGCCAACATCTAGTTTTCTATATCCTGGAAGATATAGCTTATTTCAAGTTGTGTGCATTATCCGAATGAATATAGTGCCTCTTGGAAAACTTGTCACCTTCCACCTCGATTGATAACGTATGGCTATTTTCTCCTAAACCAGACTACAACAAAGCCCCCACAGAGCCAACCCTACTCTAACAAACAGATAACCGGCCTTTCCTCAACTCCCGGACCCCAAGAAAGCTAGCTAAGTCTATAACGTACTCGCTTCTGAGAACCGACAAGGGGCTAACCCTCAAAGCTGCAAGGAGGAGGCTGGCGAGAACTGTGATATCCCGAGGTAGTAATGCAGTGCCCGCAACCTAGGCAACAGGAGGGGATACAACTCACTGCAGGAGACGAGTGTAAAACTCCTCAGCAGCTCGGTTCATCCGCGACCACATCCCGCCTTTGCCTAACAGCATATCCTAAACCGCCAAACTGAACTCCGCGCCAGACGCTGACGTCCGGAGTCAGCACCCTCCCCGTCGGGACTACTTTTACTTCTCCCCACCCCCTACAATAGGTCCCATTTGTCCACAAGTTAAACTTCTGTTTCAGAGCACACAGCGATTCTTCCTGTCCCAATAATTTTCTACTTCCGTAAGAAAAAGTTAAAATACGTTCCAGTAGTAGAAGGGAAGGCACCGCGACTCGCGAGAGTTGGTCCCGCCTACTTATGAATTATTCCGCGAAAAGGAGTCCTCGCTTCTAGGCGCTATTATTGGCTTTAGAAATCAATAGATACCGTAATTTGACGCATGTAGAAAAATAATACATTACTTTAAAATTTTTTAGAGCAATAGAGAGATATTTTGTGTCCCTGGATTGGTTCTGAGGCGGGGCAGGGTGGGGGACGAGTTGAAGGTTACATATAGAACGCGGGAGTGCTAAGCACTTCCTTTTCCTGTGGGAGCCACGGGGTTGAGAGGAGTGCGGCCTTCTCCTCTCCCCAGCATGGTGAGTGGAAGTTCTGTCGACCGGACTTTCCCCAGCTCTCGGGCTCGCAGGAATGAATTGGGGGGTTCAGGGTATAAGATCTTCAGGAGGGAAAGCAGGGAAAAGGAGATGGGGACCAAAGGCCTCTATTGCGGAGATTTGTGTAGTGAGGCTATACGGCAGCCATCTTAGAGGCAACGTGGGCGACCCGGCATAAGGCACGCCTGGAAGCAACACAGGAGGACACCAGATTGTTCTCAGGCGCAGAGGGACCTTTGGGATTCTAAACCTCCTTGATCTTAGAAGGCATGGGCTCTACTGAAGATTTGGAAGTTCTTCGGGCCTTAGACAATTGTGAAAGTGAGTTTTGGGCCCTGTATTTCCATGTGCTGATTAGTAAAGAATATTCTGTCTTTTAACTTTTTCGACTTTTTTGAAAAATTCTGGTCTAGTCACCTTAATCGCTTCTATAAAAAGCTTTCTGAGCCTCTTCTAATTTTTCTTTTTGATGTTCTCTAAGTCTTAACTCTCAGCCAGGTCATAGTATGGACATAAGTGTGGCTCATGTTTCATGTACTGCGTTTCCAGAAATGTTTGTATGTGTACTGTACTTAGCCATCGGGAGTTTAGTGAACAAAATAGGCAAAAAAGTGCTTGGATCGTAATAGGTAAAACACACAGTAATGTTTGATGGTAGTGAGTGCTGTGGACATAGGGAATTGGAAGAGAGGCAGTAGTTGGATTTTAAACAATGCTCTAAGGAGAAGATGACTTTGTTTTGAAAAAAGACTGCAGCTGCCAAGAAACCAGCAGCTGAGGAGGCAGTGGTTGGGCTTTAAACAGTGATCAGGGAAACTTAGAGAATGTCCTGAAGGAGGTAAGGGAGCATGCTAGGAGTCTTTCAGAAGACCAGGTACCTGTGAAGGGGATGTCCTGTGTGTGGAGACTGTATCTGGAAGAGAGTATAAGAATTGAGGTTTAGCAGATTGTGTAGGCCATTCTTGGGACTAAAGTTTTACTTTCAAGTGGTCTTTGGAAAAGGTTGGGCAAAATAACATGACTGGTGTTTTTACTAATAACTTTGGAAGATGTGTTTGGACTGGGGGATGAAGGGTGAGGTTGGAAGTTTGGAGTAATAGTGCTTTGGTAGGCAAGATTTGCTGACATTTGGAATGAAAGTTTAGATGGTGGCTTTAAACAGCATTCTCAAACCTTACAGTATGGTTTTGATCATCTTGATTTGTAAGCCCCAGTTTGAAGTTTAATGATAAACCATTCTCTTAGAAAATAATGAAAACTACGTGGCAGAACTTGATTATGTTGGTAACAACCTTTGTTTTAGCTTTAATCATTGTCTACCTTACTAAAATAGTTTCTTGTAACTGAGAGTTTAATGATATTGCTGGCACATGAATAGAATGACTCTAACATTGCTTGTCAATATAAATGTCTTTTCCTTTTTCCCAGGCGTGTGCTCGTCCTCTGATATCGGTGTACTCCGAAAAGGGGGAATCATCTGGCAAAAATGTTACTTTGCCAGCTGTGTTCAAGGCTCCCATTCGACCAGATATTGTGAACTTTGTTCACACCAACTTGCGCAAAAACAATAGGCAGCCCTATGCTGTCAGTGAATTAGCAGGTATGGATATAGATCTTTTGTGGGCTGATGTTTTAAGAGCTGCTTAACAGCAGTGATGAAATTCTACTCCATTGGTCCGTGTTTCTGAATCAGATGATTTTCCTGGACGTTCTGATGCTGTTTGCTACCATGCATACTAGTCACATTGGCACGATTGGGTAGCTAAAACTTGTATTTCTTCCGATTGCAGGTCATCAAACCAGTGCTGAGTCGTGGGGTACTGGCAGAGCTGTGGCTCGAATTCCCAGAGTTCGAGGCGGTGGGACTCATCGTTCCGGCCAGGGTGCTTTTGGCAATGTATCCTTTGTGTCACTACCTAGACGGTCAGCCATCATGGAATTTGGCAGGCCTGGTTTATTCATGTTAGTAGTTTGAAAATATGTTCAAAACAGTTTCCAGGTTGTAGACAGATTTGGAATATGGAAGATTTTTTTGTCAAATGTTAAAAGACAGTGAGAGCTTGACATTGTTTTGCTTGCAATGATGTCGTAATTTGCGTCTTACTCTGTTCTCAGTGACAGTTGCCTGCTGTCAGTAAGCTGGTTCAGAAGAGTGACGAAAATTCTTACTGAGCAAGACATAACCTTTTTTAATACCTAATATTTGAGAAATGTGATTCTTAACTGGGAAAATAGATGTGTCGTGGAGGCCGCATGTTTGCACCAACGAAAACCTGGCGCCGTTGGCACCGCAGAGTGAACACAACACAGAAGCGATATGCCATCTGCTCTGCTCTGGCTGCCTCAGCCTTACCAGCACTGGTTATGTCTAAAGGTTTGTAATATTTTTATTACAGGAGTGATAACAACATAACCCATTTTTTTCCCTTCACCCGAACCTTTCATTTATGTTAATAGCCTGTAAATTTTTTTCAGCCCAGAATGCCTAGTTAAAATTCCTTCTGAAGAATAATTTCAATCTAACAAATCAGTCATCAGTGATTCAAATACAGTGATTTAGTATATAGTTTGAAAGCTTTCCTGTTAAACATAATGCTGCCTGTTCTGTCAAAATGATGAAATTCCACTTCATTGGTCCGTGTTTCTGAAACACATGATATATGTGGAAGTTCTGATTTGGCAAGTTGTATACCATTTTGCTTTTGTGGGTTATATAAAATGCTGCTCAATTTTTCAAAAGGTTCAGGGTTACCAGGTTAATGTTAATTGCCTTTGTCAGGTCATCGAATTGAGGAAGTTCCTGAACTTCCTTTGGTGGTTGAAGATAAAGTTGAAGGCTACAAGAAGACCAAGGAGGCTGTTTTGCTTCTTAAGAAACTTAAGGCCTGGAATGATATAAAAAAGGTAGGTTTAATGGGCACATACAGTTACCTAGCTCTTCACAAATTTGTTGGAATTTTCAAAAGATTACTGATGGGGACAGTATTAACTGAACCTTAGTGGTTATGAGAGCAAGGACTCTGTATATTACAGTTTTACACTGATTAACAGGGATATGTTCTGAGAAATGCAATGTTGGACGATTTCGTTGTGCCTAACAGTCCTTACACAAACCTAAATGGTATAACTTGCTACACACCTAGGCCGTATGGTATACCATTATCCATGTGTAGTTCATTGACCAAAACATTCTATTAATGCAACACATAACTACCTGAGTTTGAATCCTGGCTGTCATTTATGGCTGTGTTTCAATGTTAGGCAAGTAATTTGTGTCTGTTTCATCTGTAAAATGGGATTTTTAAACTGAAGATTTATTATAGGGTTCATATCTTAATCAGAAGGCCTAAACGCCTAAACCTCACTTTGTAGGTGTATGCCTCTCAACGAATGAGAGCTGGCAAGGGCAAAATGAGAAACCGTCGTCGTATCCAGCGCAGGGGACCTTGCATAATCTATAATGAGGACAATGGCATCATCAAAGCCTTCAGAAATATCCCTGGTAATTTTTGCATTGCCTATTATTTTAATCGCCCATACTATGAAAGCTTACTCAGCTTTTATTATGATGAGATTCCACTTTATGGTCCGTGTTTCTGAAACACATGATTTTGTGGAACTTCTGATTCTTGGCTGAATGAGTGTCCTGTTAATGGTTGAAACTGCATGATTAATGATAGTTCTCAGGTACCTTATGTAGCACATGAGCCATAAAGATGATTTGTGTTTCTTCTGTTGAAATACTTCCTGATTCTCCTTTCCCTCTAAAAGGAATCACTCTGCTTAATGTAAGCAAACTGAACATTTTGAAACTTGCTCCTGGTGGGCATGTGGGCCGTTTCTGCATTTGGACTGAAAGTGCTTTCCGCAAATTAGATGATCTGTATGGCACTTGGCGTAAAGCTGCCTCTCTCAAGAGTAACTACAAGTGAGTATTCATATACTGAACATAGACGTTTATACTGTGGATATTGATATTCACTCTTGGTTTGCATGTTTTCTAAGTAATGGATTGTGTTTTGTTGCCATTTCCCCTTAACATACAGATGCAATATGCTGAAATGGTGAGATGTTCTGAGAAGTGATAGTATAGTTGGAAATTGATTGAATTCTGAAGAGCTTTAAATGGTTACAAATTTATCTTCTGTTGAGGTTCATATTTAGTCAATCATATGAGAAATAAGAATTGAGCACCAATAGTCAACAGTTTTTGGTTTTTCTCTCAGCCTTCCCATGCACAAGATGCTCAATACAGACCTTAGCAGAATCTTGAAAAGCCCAGAGATCCAGAGAGCCCTCCGAGCACCACGGTAAAGTTATAATATTTACAGTAATTCTTGCCCCAATCTCATGGAACTGATTATTTTTAAAATGTGGAAAATGTAAAGAAAATGTTAATATAGTGTCTACTTTTTATAGCAAGAAGATTCATCGCAGAGTCCTAAAGAAGAATCCACTGAAAAACTTGAGAATCATGTTGAAGCTAAACCCATATGCAAAGACCATGCGCCGGAACACCATCCTTCGCCAGGCCAAGAATGTAAGCAATAATTTGGTTTTTTGCAGACAATGTTAAACTTTTAGAAAGATTTGGTCCTTAGATTTTCTTCCTAATTTGTTGCAGCACAAGCTCCGGGTAGATAAAGCAGCAGCAGCGCTAGAAGCCAAATCAGATGAAAAGAAGGGGGTCCCAGGCAAGAAGCCCGTGGCAGGGAAGAAAGGAAAGAAGGCTGTTGGTGTTGTGAAGCAGAAGAAGCCTTTGGTGGGAAAAAAGGCTGCAGCTACCAAGAAACCCGCAGCTGAGAAGAAGCCCGTGGAAAAGAAACCCACCACAGAAGAAAAGAAGCCTGTAGCATAAACTGAAATTAGTTTATTCCTTAAAAGTCAAATGACTTTAGGACAGCTAATTTTGAATAAAAACCTGATCAAAGAGGCATTGAGAAACATGGCTCATTGAATGTGTTGTGTGAATCATTTTTTAGTGTCCAGTATAAAATGGAGCATTGGCTTCATACTAAATTCATGCTGTTGAATTAGGTAAGAGGGATGCTCCATAAATTCAGATACAAAATCCATTTTATAAGTAATGTCTTGAGAACGGTGGTTAAAGACTTGTTTCAGAAATACAGAAGCTGTTAAAATTTAGCTGCCTCCCCTTACCCTGCCTCCCCCCACCAAAAAAATCCTTGGAAAATTCTGTAGAGTTGGCATTTTCAGTAACCACAAGAGGGCAGAATCAATACATATATTGAGCAACTGTAAGAAAGTTTTGGGAAGTGTTCTTGTTGCAACTTGCTGTACACTTGGAGAAAATGCAGGCCATCAATATTTTGGCCTTCAAAAGTGCCAGAAGCATTTTTGAGAACTTGTGTACTTTACATTTTTACACCCTCTAGTAAAACTGCCTGAGCATGGTGCAGAGAAATGTACCCACCAGAGTTCTAAAGCTTTATTTGTTCTGTTAGTGTCTTAACGCCCTAGAGTTGACCTATTGTTAACCTACCCTTGTCTCATGCCAGAATCTCTGATTTTTTTTTCCCAAAAATTCACAGCTAAGGTGATGTATAATCTCATTTGCGGTCAAGAGATCTCAGTTCCCCGGCATATAAAAGTGTTTCCTAATTTGCTAAAAAATGCATTCTTTTCATGCTCTTAATTTCACCGACCTCGGTAAATGTTTCCAAGTGGCCGAGAATACTTGCCTACAAAAACCTTAAACGGTGCTGTGTGCTAGAAGGTGTTATCAGTTCCTGCTTTCAAATGGGTCTGCAGGTTTTATGGTGTTAAAATAGCCATTTGCAGCAACGATTGGAAATGGGCAAGTAGTTTAACTGAAGTATTTGACACTTTATACTTCGCCTTTTTTATCTACAGATTATAAACGGCTAAAGCACCCTGTGCTTTAGGAATCTAGATCACTATTCAAGCCTCGGTCTTTCTGATTTAAAACTGGGTTCAAGTTGCGACAAAAAGCAGGAAGTATCCCGTCCCACGTGTCGCCAGCCCCGCCTTGCTCACTTCCGTTTCCGAGAACGCGGAGGCTGTGGCGTCATCACCCAGCGCCTGGCCGACTGGGCCACCTGAAAGGCCGCGGGAGTGAGAGGCGATGCTGAGCCGGCTCCAAGAGCTGCGCAAGGAGGAGGAGACGCTTCTCCGGTTGAAGGCAGCACTACACGATCAGCTGAACCGGCTCAAGGTGAACCTGCGTCGTACCGCCCATCCCCGCCCCCGCCGCCCCTATACCGGGTCCCCTGGCTCTCCGCTAACCCCAAGCGTCTGTGGCGTCCCCCTGCTGCGGGTGACCCCTCGCTCATCTAGCTGTCTACTGACCCATAGGGGAGCTTGTTTTGAGGTCATGGGCCCACCTTAGAATCCTGAAACTTCAAGTCTAGGTTGAGGCCCAGCAATCAGCACGTTTGGCGAGTTCACTCCCACATCCGACACCCCGGAAATGCAACTGTTTTTCCCACCTCACCGCGGAGAAGTGCGACCTCCCTACGGCTTGCCTTGACCTTCCCCTTTCACCAGCCTCTTCCTCCCGAGCTCCTACAGCATTTAGTAGCCACTGTTTCCTAGCTTGTATTGTCAATTCAAACAGCTTTAGCATTGCAAAGACAGAAGACTCTCACCTCCTCCTGTTGTGCTGATAAAGACAGGCCCGTGAAAAGAGACTTTTCGCAGAGTTCCCAGTAGCTTCTCTTCCCGGAGCGGTTACTGACTCCACGGCCTTGAGAAGGAGTAGAGATTTAGGCCCACTAGGACCATTTCCCAGACCCGTGCAAATTAAGCCCCAGTGCGACAATTCTAATAATCCCTGCTCAGCACCCTTCTTCAAGTCGAAATGACATAGGGTTATGAACACCCTTTTGTAAGCTGAAGAGCATTGTACAACTGTGACATTTCAAAATAAGTGTTTTTCCTCAGGACAATTGTGGCCTACATTTACGGGTACATGTATGTATGTGTTGATCATGACCTCCAAAGCCTAGATTTCTTTATGCTCTTGGAAACACTTCCGCTTTTCATTCCTGTGTTCGGTTTCTTATTACTGGGTAGACAAGCTCAAGCCTAGGGAATCTGCCCTCCGTAGAATCAGAAGACACCTGGCTTTTTTAAGGGCACAGTTGGTTTTTGGCCTACACTTACGGGTACATGTATGTATGTGTTGATCATGACCTCCAAAGCCTAGATTCCTTTATGCTCGTGGAAACACTTCCGCTTTTCATTCCTGTGTTCGGTTTCTTATTACTGGGTAGACAAGCTCAAGCCTAGGGAATCTGCCCTCCGTAGAATCAGAAGACACTTGGCTTTTTTAAGGGCACAGTTGGTTTTCTTCCTGGAGATGTTAAGTCTGGAGGAATGGAATCCTTGGCTCAGCACAAACACCTGTACACCCCAGGGGAAAGGGGCCAGCCATGTTCTTTGTTCATTTCCTTAAAAAGCAGGGAACGCTTAAGAGACCCATCCTTTCCTCTAGGGCTGCACCTGTATTAAACTGTTCTCACTTTCCCTCATGATGCCAACCTTTTACAATGTGGATAGTAAATTTTCTCAGGAGACCAGTGAAATAGTAAGGGAATGTCCTTAACTCTTTTCTAGGTTGAAGAATTGGCCCTCCAATCAATGATTAGTTCTAGAAGAGGGGATGAAATGCTGTCTTCTCAACCTGTACCTGAACAGTCACATGATGTAAGTTAATCAAGTGTGGGCCTGGGGAGAGAATACAAAGTCCATTCTACTCTCAGGCTGCATGGAAGTCAAAAATTGTAAATCACATTATCGAGCTCAAAGGACTTGAGAAGTGCTGATAAGAATTTTCTAGTTTGATAAACTGGCTATTCCATAATACTCTTTTAGAGAGAGAACAGCCCACCTTTTACCAGCTGGTTACACTTTAATTGATTAACTAGGTAGTTATATTACCTCCACTATTCTAGTCATCTTTTCTAGTTACTCCAATGAAACAAGAGAGAGTGTGGAGATCTTTGCAGGAACATGTCAAAACTCTTGCTGCTCTGTGAATAAGTAAGTTTGGGATTCAAAAACTGAGTAGCTTCAACTACAAAGCATAGTGCTAAAAAGTGAGTTCTAGTCTTCATCACATTCTCTTTATCAAATGCCCTCATGTAAATTAGTAAAATCAACTCTAGGTATACCATATTTGAGCACCACTTCACCTAGATGTGTGTGAAGTCATTTAAACCCATTTGAAATCAGCGCACATCTAAGCATAATTCTTTTGTAAGAACCATGTTTGTAAATCAGGTAACATTCTTATCAAATCTAGGGCATTTACCCTCCTATTTTGGCAATGGGGGTTTAGGGGGAGGGTAGAATTTGGAAATAGGAAAGTGGCCATACCTCTTAGTGATAAATATTGAGAATGAATATGCAGTTAAGATTTGGTTTTAAAGCATTTTTAAGAATTTACTGTTTTGAGGCTAGTGTCTTTCCTACTAATCTGTAATGTCCTTGGCTAAAGCAGATGTTGGTGCATGTAGACAATGAAGCATCAATCAACCAAACTGCACTGGAGTTGAGCACAAGGAGCCGTGTGCCAGAAGAGGAGGAAGAAGAGGAGGAAGAAGAATCAGATTCCTGAAGGGGAAGAAAGAGACAGGGTTAGTTATACAAATTAAATTTTAAAGTCTCAGGAACTTTCACTCTTCAAAGAAATCTTGCCATGGGCCCTAAGGCCTGCTTTAAAAGAAAGCAAGAACTTTAGGAAGATGTGTACTTGTAAAAATGGTTCCATAAATAATTCAAGTTTCAGAATGCTTTCAAAAATTAGTGACATAGTAGAAAAGCAAAGATGCAGTGTCTTAGCATTGAGCAGTATGGGTGGTACTCTGTCTGTATTCTGGTCAGATACAGTAATTGTGTTCAAAACAGAAAATGCCCTCTGAAATGCTATTGAGAAAGCCTGACATTTGCAAAAAGGGCAGTGTAAATGCAAGCCAGCCTTTTCAGTCAACAAAGCCTCTTTTAAGAAAACCAATTAAAGGCTATTTGCATACCACTGAACCCTTGTACGCAGAGCCACTTGAGAGCTTAAGCTGTTGCCACCTCTCAGTGACATGGCAACACACTGCCCACTGTAGACTGTGTGGTTGTCATCACATTTAGGTTGAGACATCTCTATAGTAAAATGTACTTAGAAATCAATTATAGATGAATAACTATCATCAGCTTGCTGGTTTCCAGTAGCAGCAGGGAAACAAATCAGTTCCTACTCTGGGGAAAACAATACAACAGGATGGTTTAAAACCTGCTTTTGGACTTAGGGAAATGTGCCATTAAAGAAGGAATCACTATGTTTGGAAGATTACATTTTTGTAATAAAGAGATGACAGTTGTGGAATAAGTGTTGTTAAAACTTGGCATTTGAAGGTGAGATTCTTGTCTGCATACTGTCCCTTTCCCACTGAATATAGTTAAATAGTTGTTTATTTGCCTTGTCCAAGCAACAAAAAAGCCAAACAAACCACAAAGAACCTCTTCAAGCAGAACTTCTTATGTAACTATTCCAGAAGAGAACATGAATATATTTGTTCATCAACGTTTTATTAAAGTTACTTTGAGCTACTCTTACATGAAATAACCAAAAGTTTAACTGAGCATGTTTCTTGGAAAATACAATGTGAAGATAGTTTTGCAATGAAAAGCATCAAAGTATACATTTAGGGGGCCTTACTCAAAATATGAGCATAGGTTTTTAAGAGCTAGAAAACTGGCTTTGAATTCTAGCTCTACCACTGAGCACTTGTCCTCTCACCTCTGCAACTCTTTATGGGGAACTCAAAACAGCATCAGTCCAGTCAGGGAATTCTTGAGAATGAGATCGTTCTTAGTAATTACTAGATAAAAATATTTTGCCTTTGGATGTAAATAGAGATTTTAAAAACACTCCTCAAATCAAAAGGAGCATGAAAGTGTTCAGATCCAGGCTTTAGACTCCGGGTTACACCATTCCTTCTTCCTCAGATGCAACTTGCACATTTTAATGATATCTTTGGTAGTGGTGGCATCTTCTGTTAGCAAAAGATACAGTCTGAGGAGGGTGTGTGTGGGCCTTAAGCTTTGGCCTGAATGTATGTCGAAAACGTTTAAGGGGTGGCTCCATAGTGTATTGGTTCGCAC